CGGGAAAGACACATCACCCGTAGATACTCTCCAACTTGCACGACTTGAAGAAGAGAGCTGGCGTACCGCAATCCTAGAAGAGGACGACGACGAGGAGGACATAAGCCCCTCACACCCCGCAACAACAACTACCCTTCCGAGGACCCCTACACCACGGTATGCCAGGTCGACGCATCATGGGCAGATCATGGGCCTACCAGCGGCTGGGATGGTGGTTTACCGATACATTAGGACATGTGTACACCGGCAGGCGAGGCTGCCGAAGAAGTTTATCAGCACTACATGCATAGCTAGACGGCCTCCTTTGGCCAATGGATTGCCTTAAACGATGCCACATTATCTCGATACGTTTTGAGGCTGACTGCTCGGATCTACTAAAGATGATCGACAACCCGCTGGATTGGCCAGTATTTCAATCAGAGTTAGATTATCTTTATGAGCTCAGATACAATTTTGTATCTTTTCGAGTATCTCTTATTCCGCGATCTTGTAACGCCAATGCCGATGTCCTTGCAAAAGAGGCATGAACACGTGGCCATATTTTCTCCCATGTAGATCTTGATGAGTCGGTAGGAGTCACTCCAATCGGAATACTCCTCACCGATCAAATTTGATTTAATATATGGAGTTTGTTGAAAAAAAAAAATATATATAATAGTCAACCGGGTCAAATTACACATGTTCTTGGCTTAACTGACTTTTGTTCAACAGTGAGATCAAAATCATTTAACTCTTCCTTTTGAACTAACAAGTTGTTTCTTATATTTTACTAGCATTAAGGCCCCTCCAATTGCAGGGACATAATTGTTGTTCAAAATTACATATTATTGAAATTTAAAATTATTGTTAAAATAAATGAACGTGTAAATTTAAAAAAACAATAGCCTAGTTGAACATTCTTGTTTAAACGCATATTATTTTTTAGTAGCAAACTTTGAGGATAGTAGAAAAAAGAAAATGACATAGAATGACATTGAGAAGTGGACAAAATACCTTAAAATTTGAAACCTTCCTTCTATGAAGTCGATGAATCTGAGAAAGAGAAAGTAAGAAGGTTAGTCTAGAGGAATCAACAATTGCTTTTGTTTTACTCTGTTTTTTAAAATGTGTTATTTGAACCCCAAAAAAAGGTTTTCTGTAAAACTGATGAGGGAACGAAGAAAATGTGTAGTAGTTACTTTGTTTGAGTGGAACGTGGGGAAGTTTGTTGAAATCATGGGAGATTGTTTTATTATTTTTATTTTTTTGCATAATTTATCGATAATCCATAACTGTCTTTTTTATAAAACTGTTTTTTTAAAAATAATTCGTTTGATAACAAGTAGTAAATGAAATCAAATATTTTCAAAATTTGTGGTGAAGACACGTATTAAAAAAATTGAGGTGTAAGTTTGAGGGTGATTTTAGGACTCTCTCACTAACTTGTGTTTTATAAGTATAGGAATTCGCAAATCTTAAACACATACGATACAAGAAAACAAAACACATTGATCCACTAGAATCAAACATATTTTAATTTCTAAATT